CGGCGTTGGCGTCGGCGTCGTCGTCGGCGTCGTCGTCGTAGTGGTAGCAGTAGTAGTACTAGCAGTAGAAAGAGTAGTCGTCGTAGTGGTAGCCGTCATAGTCGTAGTAGTGGTAATGGTAGTAGTAGCAGTAATACTAGTAGTAGCAGTAGTAGTAGTAGTAGCAGTGGTAGTACCAGTAGTAGTAGTAGTAGTAGTAGTAGTAGTAGTAGTAGTAGTAGTAGTAGTAGTAGTTTTTTTTTTCAGGGAACCCGCAAGGCGCCACATGTCTCCAGTCCGACCACCATTCACACGCGGCCTCAGCCAGCCTGCCAGGCCCGAAGCGAAACTCTGGGCACGCACAGTGAGGGAAAAACGTCTTATTCAAACCCACATAAGACGAAAGGGTATTGGCGCCGTGTGGGCAACTACCCCAAGTGGCTTCACACAACGGCACAAGAGAGGATAACTCTCCGCGCAAAGTGATTAATGCATGAGGCGGCGTGCCTGAAAGAAAACCTCCCCCAAATCCTATCAACAGAGGCGGCAGCGGGAAGCGGAAGAGGGCGAGGGGCAAGGAAAAAGGAATGGACTCCAGGTCACAGCCAATGGCTCCACTGGCGGGCCAAACACTCTAGAGCAGTAGACACAGTAACCATGGAAAGCAAGGAACCTGAAACATCATGTGGGTATGTGGTATACCCGCGACGCGTCGAGGCCACGAGAGGCGTCCACCCCCGCAAAAATGGAGGGGCCGAGGCATCCCAGTGGGCGGGCGCCACGGGCTGGGCATAAGGCCCGCCTGCAAAACAAATTCAACTAAACACCGAACGACCCGCGAAGACGGAGAAGGAGGAGGAGCCAGAAGAGGGAGGGAAAATATCCACCCGCGCTCAGGAAGCCCTCAGGACACCGCGTACTCGAGATTCACGATCAGGCCTTCGGCGAAGGTGCGCGTGAACGCCTGCTCCATCGTTCGTGCTTGCGGCACATAGCAGGCCGCGGCGCTGACGGCGCTGTCCAGGGCGCTGGCGAGTGCGAGGCGTCGATGCTGGCGCTGGGGCAGTGCAGGCGCCGGTGTGGATGCTGGCGGAGGTTCCAACTGTCATAGCAGATGCTGATCTCGATGACGTTCTGGGCGCAGATGCTGGCGTAGGCGCTATCGATGTCAGTGCTGGCGGCGACGGTGGCGTAGGCTCAGGCGTTGGTGCTGGCACAAGGGTGGTGGCTCCGATACCGATGGAGCTGGCGTCGGTGCTGATATCATTGCGCCCATCCATCGTAATTCGGCCACGTTCGTGGGACGCGCTTGGTCATGGTGGCGGCGTCGGTGCTGGCGAGGGTGCTGGTGTAGGCTCTGGCGTCGGTGCTGAGGGCGGTGCCGACGTCGGTGTCGGCGTCGGTGCTGGTGACATTGCTGGCGTATGCACCGGACTCGGCGCCGAAGTTGGCGACGGCGTCGGTGCTGACGATGGTGCTGGGCTGGCGTCAGTGCTGGCGTCAGTGCTGGAGGTGGTGCCGGCGTCGGTGTCGGTGTCGGTGCTGGCGACTGTGTGGCGGTATCCTTGTTTTGGCCCAAACCGAAAAAGTGCAGATTGCAAGTAATGAGTACGTTAGCTCCGAAGCCGACAATCCCACGAAGTGGGATAAATGATGCGACTCATCACGGCCACATGAGGTCCAAGGACGGCGTTATCATAATCGCCGGGCAATTTGACGATGCCCTGGGAGCTGGAGTCGGAGAGGTGCGCACTGGAGTTGACGCCGGTGTCGGTGTCGGTGTCGGTGCTGGCGACTGTGTGGCGGCATCCTTGTTTGGCTCCAGCGGAAGGTGTTGGCGGCAAACTCTCCATCGTATGAGTAGGTTATCTCCGAAACCGCCAACCCCACGAAGTGGGATAAATGATGGGAGCCAGGTCCCAGGTCGGCGTTCTGATTAGCGCCGGGGAGTAGTAGTAGTAGTAGTAGTAGTAGTAGTAGTAGTAGTGGTAGTAGTAGTAGTAGTAGTAGTAGCAGTAGTAAACGTAGCAGTGGTAGTCGTAGTGGTAGTAGTAGTCGTAGTAGTAGTGGTAGTAATAATAAGAGTAGTAGTCGTAGTAGTCGTAGTAGTAGTAGTAGTAGTAGTAGTAGTAGTAGTAGCAGTAGTAGTAGCAGTACCAGTAGTAGTACTAGTAGTAGTAGTAGTAGTAGTAGTAGTAGTAGTAGTAGTAGTAGTAGTCGTAGTCGTAGTCGTAGTCGTAGTCGTAGTAGTAGTAGTAGTAGGCGTAGTAGTAGTAATAATATCCACAGTAGTAGCAATGATCGGAGTAGTAGTAGTAGTAGTAGTAGCAGCAGTAGTAGTAGTAGTGGTAGGAGTAGGAGTAGGAGTAGGAGTAGGAGTAGGAGTAGGAGTAGGAGTAGGAGTAGGAGTAGTAGTGAGGATACTAGTAGTAGAAGTAGTAGTAGTAGCAGCAGCAGCAGCAGTAGTAGTAGTAGTAGTAGTAGGTCGTAGTAGTAGTAGTAGTAGTAGTAGTAGCAGTAG